CTCGGCGAACCAGGACGGCGCTTCATGCCCAATACCCGGTTGCCGATGCACATGGACGTGTTTCCCAATCTTTCTTGCCGGTCCTTCTTGAGCTCGTACAGGCAGGGGGGGAGATCCTGCCTGGCGCCGGGGGCAGCCGAGGGGGGGGCCAAAGGGCAAAGGCGCCCGCCCTTGGGGTTGACCTTGTCGAGGGGGGATGCCGAAGCTTCTCGGCCGGACCAGAGGCACTGCGAGGCGAAGGCCTCGTTGATCTCGTAAATGTCGACGTCCTCGGCCGCGATGCCGGCGAGCTCGTTGGCGCGGGGGATGGCCTTGTAGGGGCCCTGGCCCATGAGCAGCGGGGGCACGCCGACGATGGCGCCGGCGACGTACTTGCCGAGGATGGTCTGGCCGAGGCGCTCGGCGGTGGAGCGGCGCATGAAGAGCACGGCGGCGGCGCCGTCGGAGACCTGCGAGGCGTTGCCGGCGTGGATGCTGCCGTCCTTGGCAAAGGCGGCGCGGATCTTGCCGAGCGACTCGGCCGTCACGCCGGCACGGATGCCGTCGTCCTTGTCGACCGTGATGGTGCGCGTCTCGCCCGACTTGGGGTCCTCAAAGGACACGGTCAGGGGCGCAATCTCGGCGTCGAAGAGGCCCTCGGCCTGGGCCTTGGCGGCCTTGGCGTAGGACGAGGCGGCGAAGGCGTCCTGCGCGGCGCGCGACACGTGCAGGTCGCGCGCCATGTCTTCGGACAGCACGCCCATGGGGACCTTGCAGTTGGCGGCCTCCTTGTTGTTCTCGAGGAGCTCAGAGAACTCGGACACGGCGCTGGGGCTGGTCGCGGCGTGTTAGCTGGGACAGAGAGGGAGGGAGGGAGAGAGAGAGAGATCTCAGAATCAGACATACCCGTACTGGGTGCTCATGCTCTCGACACCGGCACCGATGCCAATCTCGATCATGCCCGACTTGATTTGGTTGATAATGTCGATGGAGGCCTGCAGACCCGAGGAGCACTGGCGGTTGAGGGTGCGGACGGCCGTCGTGGTGGGGAAGCCGGCGACGAGGGCGGCGGCACGCATCTCGGTGGCGCCACCGCCGGGGGCGAGGACGGTGCCGACGGCAATGTCCTCCACGAGGGCGGGGTCAATCTTGGAGCGCTCGAGCAGGGCCTTCAGGGCGCCGGCCATGAGGTCGGCGGCCTGGGTGTCCTTGAAGCCGCCCTTGCCACCTTTTGTGAAGGGGGTGCGGAGCGCGGCTGTGACAACGACCTGGAGGGAGAGGACTGGGTCAGTCTGCGATCTAGGCGACGACGCAGGGGTTCGGAGGGAGAGACAGAGAGGAAAAACTTACATCGTCGGGGTTCTTCTGGAGAAGCTTCTCCTTGCCAGAGGCGCCGACAATCTGGCCGGACAGCTGGGAAATTCTCTCGATGGCACCCATGGTGGAAAGACTGAACGTGATGTGATGAGGATGGAATGGGTATCTTGGGACAGGCACGGAGAAGGAAAGAAGAAAGAACCAGGCAAGAGATGATGGATGTTGTGTCAAAGGTGAAGATGGCAAGGCGACGAGGAGGAGGAGGAAGTTAAAGACGTCGTGTTGGCAGGAGGCTTTCTCTGACGGCAGGTGTGTCTGGGCCTCGGATGTTTGCGATCAGTGGACGGCCAGACGGTGGGTTCTGATGTCAGCTGGTTTGGGGGGGGGGGGGGGTTCTTGGCCTGGCGGCTTCCCCCCCAAAAACCGGCCGAGGCATCCCCCAGAATGTGATGGCGCATGGGGGGGGCAAAAGCCCGGCCCCTGTCTAGCGTCTCTCACATGCCACATCCGAATGCGGGGGGCTCACCAGAGTCTCGTTCCAGTGCCAGCTTAGGTCATCATGTCATGAGCATGAGGCCAGGCCCATTGCTGACTGAGGTTCGGTGGTCATCTGCCGGAATGTAGGACATGTTTATACATTTGGGGCTGACCTTGAGGTGGTGCTTCACCACGTCCAGCTGCCTAGGTAGGTAGTTATGGTTGCCTTACAAATACAGTACTCATATGCTCTACAGCTCATGACCGCCTGCCCCAACCAGACTTGCCCTCATCGACCTGCCTCTCCCGCTCGAGCAGCGCATCAAACTCCTCCTGCGCCTGGCTCTTGGCCTCAGCCTTGTCCTTTTCTGTCGCCTTGTACGGGTAGTTGCTCCCGTAGCTGCCGGCGTTGGCGTTCGGCACGCGGCCCTGCTGCTGTCTGTCTGCCGCCGCTTGCTGGCGCACTCTATCCCATGCCGATCCGGAGAAGGTGCCTTGGGGAGAGCCTCTGGCGCCTGGTGCCACAGGCGACGCATCGTCGTCGATGCCCTCGACGCCCGAGTTGCCCCAACTTGGTGACTGCGTGGTCTCCGTGGATCCCGAGCCCCAGGTCGCCGGCTTCGTTGCCCCTGTGGAATATGTGCTTTGTAACGTAGCAGGCGCACCTGGCCCAGAGCCAGCGAGGGTGTCGTACTCCTTTTCCTGATCAACAGATTGCTGCGGGTCCTCTTTGGCCGCAATGGCCTCATCAAGCCGACGCAGCTGCTCCGTCTTGGCCTCCCGGATGGCGTTGAGCCCAGACTCGAGATCCTCTTGTGATGTGTTGGCGCTGTTGCGCAGCGACTCCTCTGCCTTGGCGCAGGCCGCCTCGAGCTCGTCCTTGGCCCGGATGAGCTCCGTCTTGCTGGCCCTCGACGCGTACCTGCCCCAGTCCGGCGTCTGGCCGCCGGGCGCCTCGCCCGCCCTCTGGCGGCGCAGGGCGTCGGCGAGGGCCTTGAGCTGCGGGTCCATCGTCATGGCGGCAAAGTTGCTAATGTTGGCGTACGAGTGCAGGAACGAGCCGACGGCGAGGTCGCAGAAGAAGTAGTACGCCACGAACCGCGACATGTGCCACGCGTAGTGCGCCGCCTGGCCCTTCAGCACCTGCTGTTGCAGGCTGGGGAACACGTGCGGGCTCGTCTTGACCCATTTGGGCTGCCAGAAGGGGAAGCGAAACTTGGCGCGCCCGTTGTAGGCGATGACCGCGGCCATGGTGACGCCGATGGGGAGCTTGAGCGAGTGGATCACCACGTCGCGCGCCGAGATGGTCGTCAGGGAAGCCACCTCCTCCTGCGTGATGGGCCGTGACAGCTTTTGTGCGATGCTCCCGGCGACGCGCTTCGTGCTCGTCTGGATCTGGCTTTCTGTGACGCCCAGGAGTGTCGCCCACAGGGGTACGGAGATTTCGGGAAACTGATATTTCGTGGCGGTCCCCTCACTCGAGGTGCTGTCGTCCCAGCCTGCGTCTGTGTTGCGGGACGCCATGGTGTCTGGTTCCGCCCAGGCCAAGCGATCAAATTCTGAGATGTAATTCGCACAATTTGCTTTCTTCTGTCACAGTTTGTGTGAGAATATGCCCAGGGTAACCTGGCGCTGAAAAGTGACGATGATCGATGTGTTCTGGTCTGTGGACAACTGAATGAGTGACGTCTGTGACTTGACGTCTGTCGATCGAATTGATGAACCACCGAGTCGTGCTGGAAATGGCCCGTGCGTCAGCTCCCCAAGTGCGTATACTGTTTACTTGATTTCCAGACGCGTTCCCGTGCAATTATCCAGTCGTGGGGCAATTCAATATACGCGTTGCCCAACACTAGCGACGCTTGATCAGTGCTCCACACGCGTTCGCAGGGGGCCATCGCGTCTCCAACGCCATAGATGCAACAAACATTCAGCAAATGCTCTTTTGGGGCGTTTTCGACCAACACGTTCAAACGGCCGGATTTTTTTGGGGGCAAAAAAAAAAGTATTGGAACAAATGTGCAGATCATAGAGGCGGCGGTACTTTTCTACCATGCCTCTCCCGCAGAGGTCACACTCGGCATACGAGCAGAACCGCTTTGCGAAGGTTGGCCTCGACATGCTTTACCACACGTATAGCTACCCTCTGACTGACTTGTTTCTTGTAGAGTCGTGCCCAGTGGCAGAGGGCAAAGACGCATTCCGCAACGGGACAAACGACAAGCAATCGACCACTCGCACCGGTATCCGAGAAGACGAGAAACAAGTTGACCGAGTTCCAGTTCCAACCACCATCCGACGTGGTGGACTTGACATCGACGCCTCCCAAGAAAGATGACCAGCAGGACACATGCCGACCACCAGTCAGCCAAGATGCAACGTCAATGACCCCAGCTGGCCGGGTCAGCCTCAAAGACCTCATGGCGCGGGAGCCGAAACCCTCCATCGAAATTGAACACCTCTCCCCGAACGAGCGAATCATGTGGAACAATAAAGAGGACCCAGCATACTCCTCAATGATCTCCCCCATGATCTCAAGGAGGCATAGGAAGCGGGCTCGCAGCTCATCTCCCATCTCCTCACCTTGCACGGACATGGCGCCGACGCCTGTCCCCGCTGTCGATGTCAAGAAACTAGGCGCGGCATTGCGGTCGCCTCACGCAGACCCGACTCTTGAACTCTGGGACCGTTTCTCGCTCGGAAACAGAGGAGGCCTGGCCACGCCATTGGGAGCAACGAACACCAGTCTTGCCCAATTCATGGTTTCCTCGTCTCCAAGACCCCCCAAGGGCGCGGTACCTTCGACCGAGGCCGGGTTCCGCAGAACTCTCAGCAACGGGCTGAACTGGCCGAAGCGACGCCGCTTCGACCGTCCAGAGACCCTGGGCATGTCTGCGAGGAATAGCCAGTCATTTGGCGATGTCTCCAAGTCGTCCTTGGTCACTGCTTTGCTCGATACTGTGGAGAGCAAGCAGGAGTTTACGTCGCCAGCATCAGCCACAGGAAAAGACATGGCATCAGAGTCGCCGTGCCCCCAGAAAAGGAGCGCTGCCGTCAATGGGAACGCACATGACCGAACCCCATCATCAAGTCCGTACAAACAGGAACGACTCAAGCACGGTGTTGCTCAAAGCCAGGACCACGCAGTCAAGCAGGATCTTGGTCTGGGCATTGTCACACAGCCAAAGCCTGAATCCGACTACGGCGACGACGACTTTCTGGACGACGATCTTTTGGACGACGACACCCTCATGCAGCTCGATCTCACAACCACGCAGCCATCGAAACCTGCCAGTCAGGCACCCATGGGACCACCTCCTTCGCCGTTAAAGAACGTTCATAAACCGGTAGATTTCCTGGATGACGACTTTGACGATGATCTGGACGACAACATTATCGAAGCTGCGGGTCTCATGATGGACCACTTTGAGAAGACAAACGCATCACAAGCTCCATCTCAACCAGTTCGCGCGCACCACCCGTCGCCCCCCAAGCTGGCGCCAGCAGCAGCCAAGGACGACCCAGAAGATGAATTTGGCGACGACTTCGGAGACTTCGATTTCGATGCGGCAGAGATGGCGGCTACACAATCCGCCAAACAGCCAACCTTGCCACTGCCTGCTGTACGTTGGATGAAATAACCAGGATGACGACTCATGCTAAGACCCAAGGTAGACACAGAAACCCAAGGCCATTCAGCGATATTTAGTGACCAACGTACTAGAAAGCGAGTACCTCGACGACCACGGCCGAACAAGGCTCGAAAAGGTAGCCCGTTTCTTGTCCCGGCTGATCCCACGCTAATGCTTGGCCCAGATGCTTCTCGTCCAAGTCGAGAAGACGAAGATTGTGCGAACTGTACATCTCAGGGGTGATTGGTACGAAACGCCCGCGCATGAAAAATCTTTTGTTCACATCATCGGTGACTTCGACGCCGAAGGACGCTGCGTTATCAACGATGACCAAAACATGGTTATTTTGCACCCGGATCAGCTCATATCCGCCACCGTCGTGGCCGATTCCTTCACGTGCACCCGTCGTGCTGTGCTCCAGGATCGCGTCAAGGCCACGAGCGAGGCTTCGGCGCCACTCGTGTACGGAACGATGCTTCACGAGGTCTTTCAAGCAGCTCTTCTCGCGAACCAGTGGGACCTGAAGTACCTGAGCGCCGTCATCGACACAATCATGGAGAAGCACGTCGAGGATCTGTACAAGATCAAAGTCAGCACAAACATCGCTAAAGAACACCTACAGTCAAAGATGCCTGAGCTGAGCAGCTGGGCGGACATGTTTGTCGCGTCACAGCCCAAGCCAGACGCCATGGTATCAGACCGCAACGGGAAGAAGGTCAACATGTGCGTGAGCAAGCTGCTCGACGTCGAGGAGCATGTCTGGTCGCCTATGTATGGTCTCAAGGGCAACATCGACGCCACAGTCCAGGTCACCATGAAAGACGGCAATGACACTCGTGTTTTGACGGTGCCATTTGAGGTCAAGACGGGCAAGAACGCCAACACGAGCCATGTAGCCCAGACGTCTCTGTACAATCTACTCCTCACGGACAGGTACGACATTGAGATAGTGTATGGTATTCTGTATTACATGGAGTCCTCGCAGACGTCGAGGATCCCGGCCATTCGACAGGAGCTCCGCCACATGATCATGCAGAGAAACCAGCTCGCCTGCCACATCCGCGAGCGGAGCGTGCAGCTCCCGCCGATGAAGAAGAGCAAGCACATGTGCAACAAGTGCTATGCCAAGACGGCGTGCTTCATCTACCACCGGCTCGCAGACAATGGCGACGATGTGACAAGCGGCATGGGCAAGCAGTTTGACGAGGTCGTCAGGCACCTGACGCCTACCCACCAAGAGTTTTTTATCAAGTGGGAGAATCTTTTGACAAAGGAAGAGAAGGAGAGCCAAAAGCTCCGGCGAGAGTTGTGGACCATGGTCAGCAAAGAAAGGGAGAAACTCGGACGATGCTTTTCTGATGTCGTCATCGAGGAAGGGTCCTGGTCCGAAGATCACAATAGCCCCAGCATCAACCGATTCCGATACAACTTTATCAAGCGGGAGCACAACGGCACGCACTCATTCATGGAATCGCAGCTGGCAGTCGGCGAACCGATCGTCGTTTCTGATGAGCAGGGCCACTTCGCTCTCGCTCTGGGCTATGTAACGTCAGTGCGCAAGCAGAGGATCTGCGTTGCCGTAGATCGGCGTCTGCACAATGCGCGGGTGCGCCAGCCCGGTTTCAACGAGCACGATAATCAGGTATTCGCTGGTATCATGGAAGTCGAGCCTGAAGGGTCCACCCCTGATCAGCATCAGGGCAGGGTCCGCGGTGAGCCCATGCGCTACCGACTCGACAAGGACGAGTTCAGCAATGGCATGGCAGTTGTGCGGAACAATCTTGTTCAGATCATGGCCGACGATGTGTTTGGAGCTCGCGAGATTCGTCGCTTGGTGGTCGATCTGGTGCCGCCGCGATTCAAGGCCGCACCGACTCAGTATGAGATTGCGGACCGGGCAAGCCTGAACGTGGATCAGCAAGCTGCCATCGAGAAGGTCATGACGGCACAGGACTACGCCTTGGTACTGGGTATGCCTGGCACGGGCAAGACGACAACCATCGCCCATATCATCAGGGCTCTCGTGTCACAGGGCAAGAGCGTCTTGCTCACATCGTACACGCACACGGCTGTGGACAATATCCTTCTCAAGCTCAAGGACGACAGCATCCCTGTCTTGCGTCTGGGGGCACCGGCCAAAGTGCACCCTGAGGTCCAGGAGTTTGCCACGCTGGCAGCCGTGCCGATGCATTCCTTTGATGAGATCAAGTCGGCGTGGCATGATCCTCCGATTGTCGCGACCACGTGTCTTGGCATCGGCCACCACGTCTTCAACGAGCGTACATTTGATTATTGCATCGTCGATGAGGCGTCGCAGATCACGCTGCCAATCTGCCTCGGCCCCATCAGGATGGCCAAGACTTTTGTCCTGGTAGGAGACCACAACCAGCTTCCTCCGCTGGTGCAGAATGAGGAGGCTCGCGAGGGTGGCTTGGACGTCAGCTTGTTCAAGCTGCTCTCTGACACGCACCCGGACTCGGTCGTCAACCTGGAGCATCAGTATCGCATGTGCGAGGACATCATGACTCTGAGCAACAGCCTCATCTACAAGGGCCGGCTCAGGTGTGGCACGGAACAGCTGCGCTTCACCAAGCTTGACGTGCCCAGCATGGGCGCTCTCAGGCAAAGGCATTTCGACTCTGCTCACCTCCTGCAGCCTAGTGCGCCGCGGTCGTTCTGCACCGGTCCCGCGCCTGGACGGTGCTGGATCCGTGACCTCCTGGAGCCCGAGGCGCGCGTCCGCTTCATCAACACGGACACGCTGCAACCCCGGACGCACGAGGAGGCCAAGGGCAACCGCATCGTCAACCCCGGCGAGGCGCGCGTCGTGACGCAGCTCGTCGAGTCGCTCGTTGCCGTCGGCGTTGCCGAGACGGAGATTGGCGTCATGACGCACTACCGCTCCCAGCTGGCGCTGCTGAAGCACGGGCTGCGCGGCCACCCCAGCGTGGAGATGCACACAGCCGACCGCTTCCAGGGCCGCGACAAGGAGGTCGTCGTGCTGTCGCTGGTGCGGTCCAACGACGCGTGCGCTATTGGCGACCTGCTCAAGGACTGGCGCAGAATCAACGTGGCGTTCACGCGCGCCAAGACGAAGCTCCTCGTCGTCGGCAGCCGGGAGACGCTCAAGGGTGCAGGCCACGACGAGATGCTCGCCAGGTTCATCGGCCTCATGGAGAGCAAGGCATGGGTGTATGACCTGCCGGCGGACGCGCTCGAGTCGCACGTGTCTGACGACGCGGCTACGCAGGCGTCGACGGCTGCCGCGCTGTCGCCTGTCAAGGCGAGGCCAGGGTTCGGAGGGCCTGTGAAGGAGATCGGGGGGTTGAAGGGTTTCGACAAGGAGAATCAGAGGCCCGAGCCAAGGAGGGCCATGGCGGGAGAGAGGCTCCTGACGAAGAATAGGCCGATTACCAGGGATATCCTGAACGACATGACGAACGGGGCGTACTGATTTGGCTATGGGGGGGGGATTAGGAGTTGGTTGTGTTGGATTATGGTATTCAGGATATGCGTTACATTGGCATTATAGGATATGGTTGGCGTTGACGGCGAAGCATTTAGCATACGAGCTTGGGCACAGCGGTTGATTGGAAGAGCAACTCTAGCATAGGTACGACTGGCGAATATGTGCAATGACATTCATGTCTTTGGTACCTGCGTCCCGCATGGCTTGCTATGGAGTGGCGATGGGAGCACGGAGTGTCTTGCTCGCCAAAGCGGATGTACCGCAGCTGCTGAACTCCACGCAGTAAATATCACGATGAAAGTCCCAGAACCTACTGCGCCATGCTGAACAAGCCACCTGCCGATCGACGTAAAGAGGCCCAATGGGGGACTCAGCTCTGTGGGGGGCGATACTAAAGCGTCAGCAAAGTCTTGTTCGAATACGCGTACCTGCGCCAGGCGCTTACTTGATGCACGACGTCGTTCGCAAAGGCCTGGACGTCGTGATGAGAAGCAGGTGAGGCTGATGACCATGTACGAGTATATAAATACTCCATCGCCGCGATCAAGTGAGCTCAAGCCTTTGACGACACGTAACAAACTCCCAAGCTTCACCAAACAACAATGGACGCACACACCCCCTACGAAACCTTCATCGTCACCTCCCGCCACGACGGCGCCCAGACGACCATCGACCGCCTAAACCCCCAAACAGGCCACGCCACGCCCGCCTACGTCCTGCACAAGACGCCCGGCCAGAAGACGGCCGCCGTGCTCCGCGCCTCGGCGGGCCCGAGCGCGGCCCCCGCCGGCACGTTCCGGCACCACGCGCTCTCGGCGGCCACGGACGTGAGCCTGCGCGGCGGGCCGCTGTTCAAGATGCAGCTCGTCGCTGAAGACTACCCGGCGCGCAGGCAGGTGTTTGCCTCTCCTACCGGCGGCGGCGGCGCGCGGTTCACGTGGGGCAAGGACGCCGAGACGCTGTCGCCGCGCAAGCTGTCGTTTCGGGACGCCGCGACGGAGAGGGTGCTTGGTCGGTATGCCATGCATCCGGACGGCAGGGCTGCGGGGCCGCGGCCTACGTTTGCGCTGTACGTGCCGCCGGGGACTGTTGATGTGGACATGTTTGTGGTGACGGGCGTCGCGGCCATGGATCTTTGGGCGGGAGAGGATGAGGCGGGGTTTAAGCTGCTGGGCAAGCTGTTTAGTTTCGCGGGATGAGAGGTGGCTGTTTCATGGCGAGGTGGTCTCTGGATTGTGTTTGCGGTCACGAGCGGTATGACGAGTTTAGCCATGTGGTGAGTGATGACCCGAGCATTTGAATTATATGTATGCAACGTTCTCTCGCTTTGCATCATCGGTTCACTTGTGATGGGGTATCCTTTCGTCCTCCTCTTCGTCGGACGTGTCAGGGTCGTCGTCTCTAAACTCGTCATCAAACCCTTGCTCGCCAACGATTAGTTTTGTGTAACGCTCCAGCTCCTCCAACTGCGCGACACATCCCGTCAAGCTCTCGTTGAAGGCAAAGCCGTAGACCTGGGCCCATTTCCCATTTGATGCGAGTGAGACGTGTAGTCCCGTTGATGTAACATGCATCTTCTGCGCGGCGAGCTCTTCGGCTTCAATCTCGGCCATTCTGTCGAGGAGGCGTTTGCGCGCCACAGCTGCGCTGGGAAGATACCGCTGTAAAAGATCAGAAATCTTGCTGCCCTATGGGGGAAAACGAGGATGCTTACAGGTACCTTGCGGTCAGTCTTCAGAGCCCCAGCGAGGATGTACAGGTTGCTCAGGATACAAGCCACAGCATCACGGCGATAAGACAGTAGTTTCTCAGCTGCGGCGTCATTGTCGCGAACATAGCCGGGGTCGTAGTTAAGCGCAGCCTGGCGCACAGCGATGAGATGCTCAAAGAAATTCTCACAAGCGTCGGCAAGCGCTGAATAGGGCAGCGGGTCGAAAGGGCTACGGAGGCGGAGCTCGTGCCGTGTCATGATGAGGAGCTGGCGGATTCGGACAAAGCCCTCACGGAGACGACCCTCGAGCATCTCTGAACGTTCAATGTCTTGCTTTGTGGGCTGTTTCTGTTCTTCGTAATAGACGTATTTGGACAACACACCTGCGGCGCGTTAGTGGGTACGAAACACAAGGCGTGACATGGCCACTCTGTACCTCTGTAGAGAACAGATTGGAAGAACAGCATGGAGGACAGAGCCTTTCGAAGTTCATGGCGCGAGACGAACGGCCATAGAATCCAGTTTATCATGACGGCGTTGACAGTGCCAACAAGGAATGCCAGTCCGCGTGTCGCAGCCATTCGAGCGGCGGATTGATGCTCATCAGCCGTGACGAGTGCCAGGGAAATGACGCTGAAAGACAGGCATCCCGCGATGCCAGAACGCTATAAAAATCAGCTCAACCTCCACAGTGAGCCAAGAAGCAGTCATACTGACCGGATGAGAGCTCTGCGTAAAGCGATAAAGCATTGGCAGCATGTAGATAAGGGCAAAGACGGCCATGACATAGGGGTTTCCGTTGCGCGCAGCATACGCGACCCCAGCCCAGACAGCCCCGAGGGTGACGCAGAGTGCTCGCATTAGAAGATCCTGCATGTTGCCACCGATCCTGGGAAGATATTCTTGTCAGCGAAACGAGAACGTCTACCCACGCTGGTCTGATGCTCACCTCGGATGAACCATGACCCATGCCATGACGACCGCCCACCAAGACTCCTCTAGGTTCCACCAGCTTCGACTCTTCTCGAGCCAGGCTGGGATGGCCAGCAGCGCAGTGAGCATGCAGACTTTGAGCGCATACTTGCTCTCGAATCCCTGCAGCCGATGCAGGATGCGCCAGATCTGGTATCCAAACTTACTGTGTTTCGATTCTGGATTGGGCATCTCCTCGGCCTCCATGGTGGTCGGTGACCTCTCCGGAGGAGTTGTCGCACCCGATATGGAGCTCTTTCTCGATCTCGGAGCAGGCCGATGTTCCCTAGACTGAATGGCTTCGATTAGTGTTGTGATGTCGTCAAAAGTCATCTTGACATTGCCTAGTGGGGTCAGAATATTGAGTGCGAGATGGGAGTCTTGGGTTCATACTGGCTGACACGCCTCCGCGGTCTCGTCTGATCTGCGCATTGGCGTAGTTGATGGCCTTGTGAAGAGAGTATGTCGGGAGGTAGAACTTGGGCCGTCCCGCGCTCTGCTTCATGTCGCTGACGTGCACACCTAAAGTGTCTATCGACCCAGCCGCACCACGAATGTGATGTGCGAAAACAAGAATGTTGGACACCTCTTTGATCCGAAGCGTGTCGGGTAGGACGCCCGACAACTGCAGCTCTTGATCTGCTTGATCAAAATCGTCGATTGCCTTGCGTAGAAGATTCTTGGCCTGATCAACGTCGTACGCTTCGTCTTTCGGTGGCCCCAGAGCCGAGCGGTAGCCAGACATGTCCATGAGCGCAGCATCGCAAGAGCGGATGACGCTTCTCATGTGCAACAGCATGTCCTCGGTAGGCGCGGCCAGTTTCAAGGCAACGAGTCGGAGCAATGCGTCTTCATCATCTCCTGGCATTGTTTTGGTATCACCAGAGGAAGCCTCCGTAGAGCCGTCAACATCCGTGGCTATCGTCTCAAACGCAGTTACTGTGACGGGAACAATGCCAGCCTCAGGCAAATCCCATCTCTCGAACAGTCTGGTTTCGGTTTTGAGCAGTAAAATTGAACGAATGACTCCCTGTATCAGGTTACGCAGCTCACGGACCTCGACGGGGTTGTATCGCGTGAAAGATACGTCGAGGCGGAGGTCGCGGTATGCGACGCCAACTGCCACGAAGACGCGGGCCAAGGACCGCCTGAGGAGTACGTTGCGCGGTCTAGGAATCTCCAGGGCGTCCTGTGTTCACGTCTTAGCTCGGTTGCTCATCACTGCTGATAGGAATAGGGGTGTGGTTGACTAACTTGCATGATGAGGAAAGCCTCGTGAAGTGTCTCGGCCAGAGCACGGGAGCCTGCATCGGGGAGGAACGCGAGGTTGACGACTAGAGAAATAGCCTGACCGAGAATCCACGGAATGCCGTACGACCAGAATTTGATATATCTAACCTGTTCGCCGTTCACTTCGGCGAGGCAGCTGTAGCACATGGCAATGCCGGCGGAAATCGAAAACTGGTAGAATCTAGTCCAGTAGGCTCGGATATATGCAGCACAGGCAATGAAGATGGAGAAGAATAGGGCGAGAATAGCACCATAGCCTGTGCGGGCATCCACGGTGGAATACGACAGAATAAGGCCAATGACGCCCCAGGCAAGTCCTGAAATGGTGCCGAGAATGGTGAGGATGGTGCCGTCGAGCTGAGGCCCCATTGGCCGGGCCGGGTGGTTGATGATGACAGAAACAACCATGATGTAGTTGTAACGGCCCAGCCACTCCCTCACCTGTGGGACAAGACACAGGCAGTACGCGATGAAGAAGGCGAGAGAGGCTTTGAAGAGCCTGACGCCCGACCTCGTGGTCATGACCTTGAAGAATACAGATCGCAGTTGACGTCTCTGTTTGGGCAGAAAGTGCTGCAAGGAAAGAGGCGGGTCTTTCGCAAAAGCGGCAGGGAGAGTAGATTCTGCATGTCTCATGAGCCTTTGGTAGTCGAGGGGCCGTTGCTTGAGGTAGACGGCGTCGAACCATCCATCGCGGATTTCCGAGATGCCGTGGGTGTCGGTATCGAGGTGATCCTTCTCCAGGAGCTCAGCAACCATCTCCATGTCAACAGCCGAGCTTCGTCTTCTTTGGCGGTAGAGCTCGTCGGATTCGACGTTCAGGCGAGCGCTTTCTAGACGGTTACGGTCGTTTATCGTCTGCTCTCGATGGTGCGTCCAGGCTCGTCGGATGCTGAAACGACGACGCAGACCTGTGGTCTCCTGAGGCGGCGCTGGCACATTTGCTGTGCCTGACCTCGTCTTTGCAAAGTCCACCATGGCAATGCTCTCCGTGCCAGGGCCATCGGCCGAGGGCATGGTCGGCGCCCTTGCTATCTGTGGTTGGGCTACTGGCGGGCCCGAATATTGGGATGCTTCTGGCGGCGGTGCCATCACGCGCACCGGCTCTGACTCAGTGGCCGTCATGAATTTATACTATGATAACGACCCGACAGCAGGCATCAGAAATTTCAGCAAATTTCTTCATCGCGAACCTGGTCGATTCGAGGTTGGGCATCAAGTAGTGGCTCAGAAGTTGAGGAAATATGTTGACGCTTGGACAAATATCCAGGATCAGACTGGGATATCCAACGTGGCATTGGCAAGTGGATCAGAATCATGCCTCGACTCAGAATGGTAGTTGATGTGACTGAGGTGATTGAGAGGACCAGGTATGTGCCGTTCGCGACTGAAGGCATTCGCGCCGCTGCAAAGCCTCCCCACGAATCCTGCTCAGGTGTTGTCGATCGAAAGTATCCTTGGCCACTTGACCACATCCTGTTAGTCCGATGGCTAGCGACATCGCTCATCTGGAGGAGCTGATTGCTGGAGGCTGGAGGGGGAGAGGCCAAGAATGGGGGGCGTGAAGCAGCAGATGACCCAAGGGTGGAGCCGGCCACATCACGTGATCCAATCCGACCCGCGGGCGGTCGGCAAACCTCCACCGTCGACATCTTGCTCACGACCACCAACCTCATCAACGTCCGCTCAACCGCCCTCAACGCTCCACCACCACCACCCACGCCTCCGCGCTGCCCACCACCCAAGGGTCCCTACCCATCAAACGACGACACGCACACCCGATTGATTCGAAACCCTGCCAACCTCACCCCACCCCGCCAGCGACAATGCCGGCGGTCCGACCGAGCGCCGCCCTGGCCCGCGCCGCCACCCGCGCCCTGAGGCCCGCGCCCGCCATGGCAGCGAGGCCCTTCAGCGTCACCGCCCGCCGCGCCGGCGGCGGCAACGACTTTGACCCCCCGACCGGCTGGCTCTTCGGCGTCAAGCCCGGCGAGAAGTACGAGCGCGAGGGCTGGGAGGTCCCCTTCTACACTCTGTTCTGCGGCGGCGTCGTTGCCCTGGGCGTGGTGCTGGCTTTCAAGCCTGATACCTCGTGAGTTCTTCCCCCTTGCAAACTGTCTCTGATTCTTGAATCAATTGGCGATGGAAGGCTCTGGTGAGATGCGCTGGTTGGCGGCATTGAAGATGATGGACGGGGATGGAAGTGTGGTGTGATGCGTGATGCTGCGCCATTTGGGGATTTCCTACGAACCAACTGTTGCTAACGTGCCATGTGCTAGGCTCGACACGTGGGCCCTTGAGGAGGCCAGGAGGAGGTTAGAGAAGGAGGGCATCCTGCCCGACCCTTTTCCCGAGAAGAAATAAGCTGTGGACATCTGCCACTGTCTACCACAGTTCTTCGCATTTTTCGTCAGGGTTAGAAGGGGAGGAGAGGAGAGGGAGACAGAGAGACAGAGACAGAGACAGAGAGCACCGAAGAGCTAGGAGGCGAAAGCCTAGAAGTAAATTGTACATGACGTCTGGTTTTCCTATGCAAGACACAGTCTCGACGGTTTTCGGCATGGCTAGACCTGCATCAACGACGGTCGATCGTCAATAGTATACATCTCACTGACTGCCTGATTTTCCTCTTTGACATGTTGTATGCACGTAATGCTCGCGGCAGAGCCTTGTAACATCAAGATAGGCAATAGGGGCCATTGGAGACGCAAAGTTGTGCGAAAAGTCTGGTCATTTATTGACTTTATAATTCACTTCTTCTCTAGATCTACTAATTCAGATCTTCGCTTTCAAAAAAAAAAAAAAAAAAGTCAATCAGGGGAATCCCTCCACTCTATCTTTGTCGACGAACACCCTCAAACCTCCACGACGTGGCTCCACTCATGCTCCTCATCACCGTACTGCCTCGCCTCGATCCAGCCCTTCATCCTGAGCGCAACCTCGCCAGACTCCTCGGCCTCGGACAGGCCGCAGCTCACCGTCTTGCCCTTCCAGGCGATGGAGCGCACGGGGCTGATGATGGCAGCGGTGCCGGAGCCAAAGGCCTCGATGAGGCGGCCCTCCTGCGCGGCCTCGTCGAGCTCCTTCATGGTGTACTTGCGCTCGGAGACGAGCCAGCCCTCGGGGACGAGCTTCTCGCGGGCGAGGCTCAGCACTGAGTCGCGCGTGACGCCCTCGAGGATGGTGCCGTCGAGGGGCGCCGTGACGAGTTCGTTCTGGCCCGTCTCCTTGTTCTTGAGGGCGACAAACATGTTCATGCTGCCGACCTCGGTGACGAACTCCTCCTGGCCAAAGAGCCACAGGTTCTGCTGGTGGCCGCGGCTCTCGGCCTCCTGCTGGGGCACGATGCAGGGGGCGTAGTTGGCGCCGAGCTTCTTGTCGCCGACGCCGCCGGGCCAGGCGCGCACGGCGTAGTCGGTGGCCTCGAGCGTGATGGCCTTGAAGCCCGTCGGGTAGTAGGGGCCGACGGGCGAGGCGATGACGTAGAGGAGGGCCGAGCCGGGCGCGTTGACGCCGAGCGTCTTTTGCGTGCCGATCATGGTGGGGCGGAGGTAGAGGGAGTAGCCGCGCTCGCTGGGGATGAAGCGCTCGTCGGTGCGCACGAGCTTGCTGATGAGCTCGATCATGGCCGTCGGCTCAAAGGTCGGCAGCGCGATGCGGGCCGACGACTTGTTGAGGCGGGCCATGTTCTTGTCGGGGCGGAAGAGGCGGATCTTGCCGGCCTTGTCCTTGTAGGCCTTCATGCCCTCGAAGCACTCAAAGGCGTAGTGGAACACGCATGTTGCCGGGTCGAGCGAGAGGTTCTGGTAGGGGATGATCTGGGGCGCCAGCCAGCCCTTTTCTTTTGTCCACTCAATGGTGAGCATGTGGTCTGCGTACAAGTTTAGTCAGGCGTTCGAGGACGAGAGAGAAGGGGATGGGGTCCTGAGAGTCTGACCTGAGAACTTGCGGCCAAAGACGAGCTCCTCCGGCTTGCTGAGCTTGCCAGGCGTCTTGGTCTCCTCTATCGTGAGCTTGGAGGCGTCGAGCCCCAACGGCTTGGCATCCGAAGCCGCCACGGGCTTGACGCTGTACTGGCGTGCAGCCTGCCATGTCGCCAGGCGCTGGGTGGGAAGCTGCGATAACCTGAGGGCGGTGCGGGCGCTGGCGCGCGGGAACAGTTGCCGCAGCATGGCAGCGGTTGGGCTGTGGGAAAAGATTTGAAGGGCCTGGGGTGATGTTGACGAGAGCGATTGAAAGTAGAAGGACGGTCGAAGAAAGGACAGCGAGAAGGCTGAGTGATTCAATTGACAGGAGAGGAACTGTTCAAGGGTCACAGTAGAGGTTGATGGGGGAATGCCGTGGGGGAAGGACAGCAGCACAAGTAGTTTCCTGTGGTCGACGAGAGTCAGAGAGAGTCGGAGCTTCATCGGAGGCTTGAGCCGTTGTTTTCCATCTTCAGTCGCTGAAGGGCGCCGCAGCGATACGGGTTACACCAGCTAATCAGGCCAGCCACTGGCACCTGGGCCAATCAAAGGCAACCGAAAGCGGAAGAGGACAATGGGGCCTTCGGTACTGGGTACTGGGGCCGTTGGATACCTCTACCTACCACCTATCCTAGCTACGCACAAGGTACCTCACCAGACCAGGGACCTGACGCAGCAGTTCGTTACAGGGCTCCCTGGGGCACCAACTCTTCGGCTTTAGTGGAAGCATGGCCGCTAGCGCACCCAGCTCGCCGAATAAGGGTCTCGCCCAGTTGGAGCTCCGCTTTCCGCTTGCTGCATGAAGCTGGGGTCAAGTCCTGGGTACCTAGAGGACGACTTGATGGCTACCTAGAGGCCCAAGGTGAGCGATGCACCCTGGCGGAGGCAGCAGCCAAGCGGCCAGCGTCTGACCTCACCTCACCTTGGCTCACCTTGGGACTTGGCTGCTGAGAAGTGCTGCTCCCCTCCACCCCCCAATCCTCAGCATCGACAGGTCAACCTGGACATTGACGCGGCTGAGCCATTCCCACAGTCTTTATCGTCAGCAACAGAAGAATATCCGACAAGGCACCCAACCCATCGTCGCTACGGCCTACGAACAAAGACTTGCCTTCCACACGACGTGCGCATCTCCACTACAGCTCGGCGCAACCTGGCAACTCGTTCGAAAACGACCCCCTTTTGTACGCCGTCCCGTCATGAAGGTCGAGCTTCCACACGCAGCATCGCCCCCGCCTTGAAAACGAGGTGTGCAATTGAGACAACATGTTCTCTTCGGCTTTCAAGTCGATCTCCTCCACCAACATCACCGCAAACTACTCCATCTCCCAAAACTCGACATCCACCGCCGGGCCCTGGAAGATTTACGACTGCAAGAAGAAGTCCACCGGCAAGGCCTACAGCGTCTTTGTCTTCGACAAGAAGTCCCTCGACAGCCATGGCAACTCGCTGAGCCGCAGCAGCGCCAGCGCATTCAAGCGCACGACTGAGGAAGTTGTCGAGCGTCTAAAGAAGGAGGCCTCGAGTCTTGCCAAACTGCGACACCCGAGCGTGCTCGAGCTCGTCGAGCCTGTGGAGGAGACGCGAAGTGGAGGTTTGCAGTTCGTGACCGAGGCTGTGACGGCGTCGCTGGCCAGTCTGCTGCAGGACAAGGATGACCAGGAACGGTCAGGCGGGGTTGGTGGCCGCTCGAGCCGATATGTGACGGAGGATTCAGAGGGCGTTCGGAGGCGGCGCGAGCTTGAAATTGATGAGCTCGAGATCCAAAAGGGACTGCTGCAGATCAGCAAGGCGCTCGAGTTTCTGCACGACAATGCTGGCTTGGTGCACGGAAACCTGACGCCTGACGCCATCTTGATCAACGCCAAGGTCAGTTACCGCGCGCTCCTCCTCCCATAGCCTAGATCTGCTAGGAACACTGCCTAACAGCATGAACAGTCAGACTGGAAAATCAGTGGGCTGTCCTTCTGCAGCCCTCAAGAGAACTCGAACAAGCCGACCTCTATCCAGCCCATCAGCTTGGGCGAGATCCTTAACATGGACCCCAGGTTACCTGGCTCCGTCCAGCTAAACCTCGACTACACCTCGCCTGATTTCGTCCTCGACAACAACCTCACAACATCGGCCGATATGTTCTCTCTAGGCCTCCTGTGTGTTGCTCTCTACAACTCGCCCCATCGCTCTCCTCTCGAAACCCATGCCAGCGTCTCGACGTACAAAAGACTCTTCTCCTCCTCATCGACGATTCCCTCTTCATCCAATAAGTTCTTGGCATCCAGAAACTTGCCAAAGGACCTGTCGGCTCACGTCTTGCCGCGCCTCATCACTCGACGGCCGGCGCAGCGCATGACGGCCAAGGAGTTCCAGGACAGCGAGTATTTCGACAACATACTCGTCTCCACGATTCGTTTCCTCGATGCTTTCCCCGCCAAGACGCCCAACGAAAAGGCACAGTTTATGCGGGGCTTGAACAAAGTCCTGCCGTCTTTCCCCAAGTCGGTCATGGAGAAGAAGCTGCTGCCGGCGTTGCTCGACGAGATGAAAGACAAGGAGCTCATCTCATTGATTCTTCAGAACATCTTCAAAATCATGGAGTTATTGCCGACGGCAAAGCGTGCCTTTAGCGAAAGCGTTCGGCCGAGGCTCAAGGAGATTTTCGTCTCGGCCGGCAAGAAAGAAGCAGAGCCGCCCAAAGATCCAGCCAAGGATGCCGGTCTCATGGTTGTCCTCGAGAACATGTCTGTCATCTCGAGCAATTGCAGCGGCAAGGAGTTCACCGACGGTAAGTGGCAGTACCCTGCGATGGCTGGCTCATACGCACCAATCCGCTGACTCGGTCAGATATATTACCCATCATCATGACAGCAATCGAATCAGGGACTCCGGCTGTTGTTGATGCGGCGCTGAGAGGGCTGCCTGCCATCCTCGCGGTGCTCGACTTCAGCACGATCAAGAACGAGCTCTTCCCGGTCATCGCCATGGTCTTCAGCAAGACGAACAGTTTGGCCATCAAGGTGCGCGGTTGTCAGGCGTTCGTGGTGCTGTGCGGCGGGTCGAACAATCCGTCGAACGACGGGCTGGGCGACTTCAGCGCCGAGAGAAGGAAGACTACGTCATCGTCCAGCGCTCTGGACAAGTACACAATGCAGGAGAAGATTGTGCCCCTGATCAAGTCCATCAAGACCAAAGAGCCAGCGGTCATGGTGGCGGCACTCAATGTGCTCCGCGTGGTGGGCGACACGGCAGACGCCGACTTTGTGGCCATGGAGATCCTGCCTATCCTTTGGAACATGAGCCTGGGGCCACTGCTCAGTTTGAAGCAGTTTCAGAGCTTCATGGATCTCATCAAAACCCTGTCTAGGCGTGTAGAGGACGAGCAGACCAAGAAGCTGCAGGAGCTGAACGGCAACGCGAATGGCAGCACCGTCGGAAATGAAGACTTCATGGCCTTTGGCGGCGTAACAGGCACGACGTTTGACAGCAACACCAACGGCGCGTCGGAGAACGACTTTGAACAGCTCGTCAAGGGCAAAGTCACGAGCTCCGCCCCGGGCGACTCGTTCGCGAGCTGGGACGACGCCCCCGTGCCGTCGGCCACGACAACGTCAGCCCGTCCATCGACCGGGTCTCGATTCAGCGCCCCAAGCCGCGGCCTTTTCGTGGTCAACTCCCAAGGCGCGGCAAACGACGGCTGCGCCCGGTCAGTTCAACGGCGTCAGGGCGCAGGCGCAACCGACGTTCCGGACTGTGACGCCGGACCTGAGTGGGTTCCAGTCGATGACTCCTTCGACGACGCAGTTCTCTCAGCCGATGCAACCCGCCCTGCAGCAGCAGCAGCAGCAGCAACAGCAGCAGCAGCAGGGCGCCGCCGCAGCGTCAGTGAACTGGGCGTCGGCGGGCAGCTCGGCGACACAGTCCAACCCATGGGCATCGTCGCCGGCACCGTCGTCGTCGTCAGGCCTCGGGGCCATGGGCGCTTCGATGGGGAGTCTGTCCATGGGTGGCGGCGCGAGGCCGGGCATGGGGTCCTCACAAGGGTCGTTCTCACTTCCGCCGCCACCGGGTGGTGGCAGCGGCATGATGGGGTCGTCGGGATTCAGTCTCGCGCCGCCGCCAAAGCAGCAGCAGGCTGCGCCGGGGAACCGGTCGGCGAGCGGCATGGGTGGTATGGGCATGGGCGTGCTGGCTCAGCAGGGGGCGAACTCGATGAGCTCGATGGGTTCGATGAGCTCGATGGGTTCGATGAGCTCGATGAACTCGATGAACTCGCTGAACTCTATGAATGCAATGGCAGCGAGGCCCGGCATGGGCATGGGCATGGGTCCTGGAGCGAGCATGAACAGCATGATGGGAACGGCTCAGCAGCATCAACAACAACAGCAAACACAGCAACAGCAGGCAAAGCCTGGTTTGGATAAGTACCAGAGCCTGATATGAGGAGCGATGTCTGTTAACTCCTGGTTCTGAGAGTTTACTTTTTGGTTTAAGCTTGTTTTCTCTCCGAGTTGATAGACAGCGTTGATAGATTTTGATGTTTGAAAAGTAATGCGATCCAGCTTTTGGATTCAAGGACCTGATAACACTCCCACCTCTTTTTCTCTCATCTCACTCGAGCATGACTCGAGATGACACAGCATGGATGAATTGTCCCAAGCGCGCCATGCGTGGCCCATCTGTTATTCGCCACCATAAGTAAGCACCCAGGACATTAACAGGGAACAGCTTGACTGTCACAACCCAGTCGAGTGTTTCCCCGGAGCTTTTTCAACACGTGGGGAGCAGCACGGCTGGCGCCGTACGTCTCGTCAGCTGGCTCGTCCACTGTATTAGCCGAGGCGGACTGGCCCAGAAAAAGAAAACAATACCAAATGGCACACATGGAAATGAGCAGGCGTGTGTTCTCCTAGTGGCGTGCGGACGGACGCGCCGGGTCATGATGCCACCACTTCCGGGATTGACGCACGCAGAACACAGCCAAGCTTGAACGGCGCACTGCACTCAGTTGTCGCACAGCCATGCACCCTTCAAAAGGCAGAACGAAGAGGCGCTACACATCTCAGAAATGCGAGTTGGCATTATCGGGATCGATTTCCGTTTTGCAATAAAAAAATTGGTTCCTTTTGGGATGTGTGTGCGTGGCGGTTGATGGGGGAGGGGATTTCCCTCTGGGCTGGAACATGATCCATGTCTGGCAACATCGGACCGGGTGACACGGTCGATGGCAGCACGTTCTGCAGGATGACAGTGGCCCCCCAAACTACGCCCATCTTGCACAGCTGGCGGTGGCAGGTGACGAAGATGGTGAGTTGTGAGGTGATAGCTCATCATGTGCTTATTTTTTCATCAGTCTTCTGCTCATCGCCTCCATGTGACACTGTGATACTTGGAAGATATGTTTTTTTTTTTGCAGGCACTTGAGTGGAAAAGGGATCGATGAATGGAAGTGAGGTGGATGGCTTCGCTGACAGGTTCAGCGCAATGTCATGATGAGCCTATCTAACGCAGAGGGCGAACGCAAAGGGCGAAGCCGAAAGTGGATCATGCCTACATTGTTCGCTCTAACTTGATGGCCCATTTTCACCGCCAGACTCATTTCTTTCTACCATGTACGGTAAAAGTCCGCCCTCTCGATGCAAAGCATTGCGGGAATAACGTTATCGGTGTCATTTGACGGAGACGGCGGTTCCCACCACGCGAAAGGTCATCAATGGCGACAGGACCCCCCCGGCTCAGACAGAACACAAGGTCCGGTAACCGACCATACCTTGATGAACATAGCGAAGGTGCCTAGGCAAGGCAGGGTAACTAGGCAATTGTCACGATTTCGACAACGCTCCGGATCAGCCCTCGGCGCCCAGCCCAGGCCCCCTCCAGCCAACCAGTGTCTGGGCGGTGCTCAGGCAAAAGGCGCCAGCTCATGAGCTCATGCAGTTCATCGACGGGAACGGAGGACGATGACAGATCGGGCAATGCCAGCCACAAGAGGGCGTATAAGCGGCCGAGGGCGACGTGTAAGCGAACCCAACGAGTTTACCCGTTGGGCGCAACCCTCTCTTGTGCTGGCTTGGATCCTAAGGTGAATCTAAGGAGGGAAGAGGAGCAAAAGGCAAAAGGCAAAAGGCAAAAGAGCGATGTGAGACGGTACACAGAGACGGGCAGCGTAGACGAGGGTCTAATAACGAATGCCCAAACCAGGCGAGTCCGTATTTAGCCAAGCCCGAGACCACACACACACACACACACACACACAGAGAGAGAGAGAGAGATACTGTCACCACATACTGGTGCATTCCCGGCGTAGTGCTCTCTGTCTCTCAAATCATTGGCCCGCTGGCTGATGCACCAGAAAAGAGGGCATCCTGGCTTTCCGCGTTTGGCTTTCCACTTGCATTTTTTCTTTGGATTTCATTTGCTTGGCCCGGCGGGAAATTGACGAGTTACTTCTCCTTCGTTCGATTGCTGATTCTGGCTTCCAGCATTATATTATAGTGATACCAACCCGGATCATCAGACAAGAGCCCTTGTGAGCGAGCAGCATGAGAGAGAGAGAGAGAGAGATGCATCACCTAAGAGCCCTCTATCCATTGATCGGCATCTCTTGACTTTCCGTAGCGTTTAGCTTGTGGCTGATGCAAATGGAAATCCATACAACTCGCGTCACCTGTTGACCTGGACAAGAATAACAAGACGAGAGACGAGGAGGCAAGCAGAGAGCAGAGGAGAGTAGAGGAGAGTGACAAAAGGTAGAGTTTCCAGCCAGCCGCTTGGTCTTGCCTTGCCTTGTCTTGCTTGCCTCGCCTTGCTTGCCTTGCCTCGCCTTTTGCCTTACACTTTGGTGCTATTCCCTTTTCTTCTGCCCACCCATTCCTACTCTCCTCAACCTAGACCTTTCCACAACTCCCATTTTCCGTCGTCCGACTCGACTCACTTCCTCTCAACACGACACATCCCTGTTTTTTGTTGGTCGTCTTCGCCCCGACTCCGCCTCTCTCTCTCTCGCACTCTTGTCACCCTTGCTCCTCGATACCTTGACCTCAACTCTGCACACGGTCCAGAGTTGCGACGTCTGCCTTTTGCTTCCTTCACCTGGGCACATTCTCCTCCTCGCCCCCCCACACAACCTTGCCAACCCCCCCCTGGTCAATTCGTCTGCCTATCTCCCGTGCTCTTCTTGTTTGTCCCACCACACACACACTCACACTCACCTCTCGCCATTCCGAATCGCTGCATATGGTGATCATCACCATTGCCATCCATCCATCAACCCCATCAATCCAAACCTATCGACATATTGTCTCATCAAAGAGACAATCACTCATTTTTGAGTCTTTCATCGTCGCGTATCTTGTTGTGGGAATTTTCAAGTTTCGAGCCTTCTGCGACAGTATCCCCGTCTCATCAAGACTTTCTCTCGTCGGCGCCTTTTGCCACGCGTAACAGACTCAACTCCTACACATCATCCCATTATGCGGACAACAGAGAGGGCAAATGGCCAACCTGCCAGTCGGACAGGTACGTGTATCTTGGGTTTTCCTCTCTTTCTCTCTGGTCTTCCCGCCTTTTTTTTCTCTCTCTTCCTCTTCCTCTTCCTATCCCTGTTCTTCCTCTTCTGCCTAGTCGTGTCTTGTCTCACCCAACCATCGGCGGCGATCCGACCGAACCTGGGCGTTGTGGCCACTGTCGTGTCATTCGTTGTTCATTCACCCATTTGCTCATATTTCACTGGCTTTTATCTGCCAGGTTGTATTTCTCATCATCCTGTTTGTGCACATTGTCGTTTCAGTTGCCTTCTCAAACCGACATCGATTTCTCAGACGGACATCGATTTCCCAGACGCGCTAATGTCGATCCCCGCATGCATCGTCGTCGCTCAAACACCATACACATGAAAAAAAAAAACAGCACATGAACAAATCACTGACCTGATCCAGAATCGCCGGCCAACACAACAATGTATCACAAAAAACCACAGCGCCGAATCGGCAAGCGACGCGTCAAAGGCCCCAAAGGTATGACCGTCAACACGGTTGAGATGGCTACGTCTCGCTCCGGATCTCTGTCGCGCGCTCAGACAGAAACGCCGTCTCGGACGCCTACGCCGACGGAAATCTCTCACGACCTTGGCTTGCGAGAACTCGAAGAACGCGCCAAGGATGTGCGCGAGTCTTGCTGGACACATGACTCTCTCTTTGAAGACGCCGTCGACGGCATCCCCTCAGACACCAAATTCGCCGCCGACGATCCCGACGCCTGTTCGCCAGCCGAGGCCTACCACCTTCGCCAGCTGCTGCGGACCATCGGCCCCCGCGAGTTCTGCCTGCGCACAGTCGACTCTGGTCGCTATACGGCGAAACGCCTGCTCACGGCCTTTAACATCCGTGCCCCGGCTTTTCTTGACGGCGCCCCCGAGGAGGCCTACACGAGCATGCTGACGCTGGCCTTTAGCCGTGAGCTGGCCAAGCGCGCCAAGCTGCCGTCGCACAACTCGCTCGACGACGCCGTCGCCCTGTTGACCCGCTCCCGCAACATCATGGTCATCACGGGCGCCGGCATCTCAACATCGCTCGGCATCCCCGACTTCCGTTCCAAGAAGACGGGACTCTACGCCCAGCTGGAGCACATGGGCCTCGCCGTGCACGACCCGCAAGAGGTCTTTGACATTAACGTGTTCCGCGACGACCCCACCATCTTCTACACAGTCGCCAAGGACATCATTGTGAACACGGACCGCTACTCGCCGACGCATGCCTTCATCGCCATGCTGGACCGCATGGGCAAGCTGCTCACCAACTACACGCAAAACATTGACAACGTCGAGGCCCGTGCCGGCATCAACCCGGATCGCATCATCCAGTGCCACGGCTCCTTCGCCACAGCCTCGTGCCTCGAGTGCGGCTACAACTGCCCCGGCGAGGACATCTTCCCCGCCATCCACGCCAAGCAGATCCCGCGGTGCCCCAAGTGCGTCGCCCAGCTGCAGGCCGAGCGCGAGCAGCAGCAGCAACGTCGCCGCCGCCCGGGACGCCCCCCGAAGCGCGGCAACGCCGCCAAGCGACCCTACGGGCCGGGCGGGCCCCCCGGCCAAAAAAAACCCGTCCAAAAATTCGAAAGGCCAAAAAAAACATCCCCCAGGGGGGGGGTCAGGAACCCCGAAATCCCTTTTTTTGGGGGGGGCCCCCCCCGACCCCTTTTGGCCGCCCCTTTGGGGGCAAAAA